TTATTATTATTATTATTATTATTATTATTATTATTATTATTATTATTATTATTATTATACACAAAAATGACAGTATACACAACAAACGAGATAACCAATGCTGGTTTTTGTATCCCAAATCACTAGTCGAACACTTCCCAAGCGTTTAGGACTGTGTGATGTATCGGCAGATATTGTTATTGTTGTTGTTGTTGTTGTTGTTATGTTCCTCGGTTAGAACTGAAGAAGTTTCTTGGATGAGAAGCGAAACGTTTTCAGAGAAAACAAACCAAGAAAGTCCAGTTACCTTTTGGAAAAACATCTTTGGGACAACCCAGGACCTGGATGACTGAGAATCTCCATAGATATTGAAACGTGTAGGGAAGGGTATCTCATCTTGGCCACTTCAAAAGGAAGAGACTTCAACTCCCATAATTCCCAAACCCATCCTGACAGAGGTGGTATTCAGCAGGTTCTGACCAGTTCTGGACAAAGGTGGGATACGACAGGGTTAACAACCGGTTCGGGATTTATGAGCTTCCCTGCCTGCTGTGAACCAGGCACCTGTCAATCGTCATTAGCACGTCATTAGCACGCTGCTGCCGCCTCTGCTGCCAAGAAGCAGCCTTTGAAACAACCCTCTTTTCTTGTTTTTTTAATTGCAGCTGTGGCTCATTCGGCAGCTGAAGTTGAAAAATCAGGAAATAAAGATCAGGTAAGAGCCCGGGTGGGTAGGTGGGCAAAAACATCAGCAGACATAGAACCGGTTCTATGTCTGCTGCTCTTCAGAGCTACCGGTTCTATAGAGGTGGACAGAACCGGTAGAAACCCACCTCTGGTTCTGGAGAACTGGTAACGGAAATTTTGAGTAGTTCGGAGAACCGGCAAATCCCGCCTCTGACTGGCCCCGCCCCCATCTATGCTCTGCCTCCCATTGAGTCCCAGCTGATCGGCTGGGTCTTCTTTGGTTGCCCTGCCCAGGAGAACGGAGCTGGAAAGCAGGTTAGTGGGGTGGGGAGGGAATGGGGATTTTGCAGTATCCTTCCCCTGCCACGCCCAGAGAACTGGTAGTAAAAAAAATTGAATCCCACCCCTGCATCCTGAGATTTGAAAAAGATGTTGAGACTCTAGAAAGGGTGCAGAGAAGAGCAACAAGGATGATTAGGGGACTGGAGGCTAAAACATACAAAGAACAGTTTCTGGAACTGGGCATGTCTACTGGTATCTAATGATTTATTTAGCTTTTATTTAATATCCTATTATGACTTATATTGATTATTTAGTATCCTATGACTACCACTGAATGTTGTATCTATGATTTATGATATTTGTATTTGATGGTTATGATGTATTGCTTCATTGCTCGTATGTACACTGAGAGCTTTTGCACTGGAGACAAATTCCTTGTGTGTGTTCAATCACACTTGGCCAATAAAGAATTCTATTCTATTCTATTAACAAAGCTGTGCTTAAAGAGTAAGGTTTCAATAAGTCAATAATAAGACTTGGGCAATTCAGATTTACAAGCACCATTTTATAATGTAAGGTTTTTCGAGTGCAGCTCAGAATCTAATAAGTCCAGTGAAACTCTGAACAGGAGGCTACTGATAATCAGCTTTATTTTCTGATCAGAAAGCAAAAACTGGACAACCTTTCAATTTTGCAAGGCAGAGAGAGAAAAGCAGGCGCGCACAAAAACTTTTTCTTGAACTTTTATAGATTACACAGCTAGCAAAGACTGTCATTGCTACGGAAACATTATTTCATATCAAGCAAAGCTCATGAAATTTTCTCAGCGCTTCTACAAACCAAGGAACCTTACTTAGATGGATTGGAAAGAAATACATTTTAGCCCAAAGCTTCGTTTCTCACATATTAAGTTACTGGGAAGAACACATTCCAACTTAGTTACAGCAAGCAGATAGATGCCTTTTGCATTTCTCAAGTAGTTACTTTGCCAGGCTAAGGTTGGCAGTTCACCTAGAAGTTTTTAATCTCTGCAGTTGGCTCATCTCCCAGCTCAGCACAAGTTACAATGGAGCTCAGTTCAGTTCAGGAAGGAAATCAAAGATTGGGCTAGACACACACTGCGTAGGCACTCTGTTTATGTTTCAAACCCTTCAATAATATTGAATTTCTTGTTCAATTCCCAATGCAAACAGATCTGAAGCCCAAGAAAAGGCTCAAACAATGGACCTACTTAAGATGATGTAACATCTCTTAAATGTGCCAAATCACTTAATTCCATGGTGAGATGCAATAGTGAAGGATCGGATGATGGGATGTATGTACAGAGGAGGCCCTGGGGATCAGAGGAAGGGTCATATGTGGATATAGGACCCAGAACACTCCCACGAACATTGATAGGTTTTTTCTACGCGGGAGAAAACCCGACTAACCAAAGATCCATATATATATATATATCAGGTTTGGATTCTGCTCCTGTGGCAGATATGAGTTCAAGTGAGGAAGACATGGCAGAGAAATATGAACCGGCATTGCTGAGTGATTGGAATAGTAACCAGGATGAGGAGATGAGGATGACAGATCTGAAATATTAGAGTGGTCAGAACCTTCGACCTCCTCTGGTGCTTTATCTAATCAGCAGCCGGGAATGGATGACAGGGAAGGAAGGAGGGAGTTTTCCAGCGGACATGAGAATCTGGAAAACTTATGGTTAGACGTTAGGAACAGGAGACGACTAAGGAGACAAACCCAGTTAGAAAGAAAGAGAAGAGCGAGCCAATAATTAGGGTAATTAGCACGTGGCTTAAGTATAAAAGGACACAGCTGGCCTGGTGGAATTCGCCAGAAGCAAAGTGACTATTTGAGAGTGAAGACATTGCAGCCGAAGCTCTGAGGCTTGAGATTTATTGCCACGACAGGCTTGCCGGACAGGGTGAAGATTTATGCTGTGTATTGGGATTTTTGCCAGCCGTTCTTTTGTGAAACTTTGTTTTAGTTTGAATTACTTCTGAAACGGCTGTTTTGGGTTTTATCTCGCCTGAAATTAAGGGGAGACATAACACACACACACATATATATAGGATACTATATATATATCACAATATCACAAACCCTACTCCTTCAAGCACTGAAAATGTTACCAGGTTGGGTAATGAAATGCCTGCAAGAAAATAACCAAGCTCAGAGAGTACCAAGGACTCAGAGTTCAACTCTGAGCTACATATAAACATTTCTGCTAGAATCATGGTATCTTCCCAAACCACCTAACAGAATAACAGAGTTGGAAGGAACCTTGGAGGTCTTCTAGTCCAACCCCCCCTTCTCAATTACAGTTTCAGACAAATGGTTGCCCAATCTCTTCTTAAAAACTTTCAGTGTTGGAACATCTATAACTTCTGAAGGCAAGTTGTTCAGAGGTGGTATTCAGCGGGTTCTGACCCATTCTAGAGAACCGGTAGTGGAAATTTTGAGTAGTTTGGAGAACCGGCTAATCCCATCTCTGACTGGCCCCGCCCCCATCTATTCTCCGCC